CATTTCGGGATAAGGTACCGCTCGGCGTACAACCACAGCCGAAACAAAAACGGCCCATCGCTACTCCGTGAGATGGGTTGTTGAGTTTGGCCCCCGGTTTTACGACCCGCCACGGTTGTTAAATGAATCCGACCTCCCTGTGGCTTAACCGAAGGTCGCCAAAGGGGGTGGCGTGACCCCGGGACGCTGCAACCATCATAAATATCGACAGCGGCCGAGCCTCCGAACTTGGGTTCACGCTGCAACGGGCCTAAGTGTGAAAACGGTCTTCAGCACCATTGCAATTGTGAACGGTCACTAAACGGAACAGTTGTAAGGCGAGGACTACTTGTAGAACTGAGCCAAGTCTCCAGATGTCCATGTGCTGTGATTCTTCCGGGGGTCCCTTGCAGGAACCTTCCTCCTCCTCCTCTTCCTCCCACTCGGATCCAAGCCATTCTCAACTTACTACAATAGTTCATTCAGCAACTGTTTAAAGTGACAACGGCACGGATAAAAGGGACTTACGGCCACTTTTCACGCTGGGCGACGTTGCAGCAACCCCAGGGTCAAGCGATCGAAATTCGGAGGCTTGGCAAACGATTCCTATTTATGACGGTCGCGATCCTCTTTTATGATCTTCTGACAAAGAACGTGAATGGCGGAAACCAGATTCACTTAACAACCATGTCATTAACAACTGAAGTGATTCGCTTACCAGCCGTGACAAAGAAAATAGCCAAACGGGGCCAAATTAATGGAATAAATGTTTCGCTTAGCGACAGAAAATGGTGCTCGATGGCGGTTGTATATCGAGGACTACTTATAACGCTACCATGCCACAAGACCCTCACTCTTACTCTCCCCTCCTGGGGTTTTTTTTTGGGGGGGGTCTCTTTTCAGCAGAGAGATTGTCTTTTAGGTGTGTGTGTGTGTGCGCGTGCGTGTGTGCGTTTTTGAGGGGGATGTCACCATTTTGCAAGTCAGCAGCGTGGCCAATTTCGGCGGTGCAGGTTGGCGAGGAATGTGGCGCGCCACACGTGTGACGGGGAACAGACGGACCCGGCTATCTTTTCCGGGGGGGGCGGAGAGAGGTGAACACAAACAAGAGGTTTACCTTGGGGGGAGTGAAAACTAGGCTGGGATGGAGGGGAGACACGGGCTAATCGGGGGTGGGGTTCAGGCCAGTTCACCTGAACCGTTAGTTCCAGCGACTAGTTCGCCCCGTCCCACTTGCTCCTGCCCAGGTCGCGCACTCACCGAGCCGGTCGTTATACCGGGTGGGATCCTACCACTGCCCTTAAACGCTTTCGTTCTTCTTTTCTTTACAGAGTCGGCGTCCGCACCATGGCGGGAGAGTAGCCGTACCCCCCCACCAGCCACGCCTCGTGGCCCGAGACGGCACATGGGCCCAGTGTGGGGGGGGAACCAGCCCAAGAGAAACCGGCGAGGGGAGCATGGTCCTCCTCTGGTGAGTGGCCGAAGCAGGCTCCCCCATGCGGAGTTGCCACCTTGTTCCGTGCGTGTTTCCCGTTGGGGGCGCCCGTTGTTTCGTTTCGCACCATTAACCAGCCGTCCTCGACTTAATGGACCCCCCAACTGAGGCAGGAACGTCCGTTGGGAAGCGCGACGTTAGTTAAGCCTACAGCACAGGTAGCCCTTTATTGACGGCGGCAATTAAGCCCTTAAAATTGTTTGTCGCGAAGCAAAACACAGGTAAGTCCTCGACTTACGATGACAGTTTGTTTAGTGGCCGGAGTTACGACGGCACCGACAAAAGGAACGTAGGACCATTTCTCACACTTTGACCGTTGTATAGCGGCACCGGGGCACATGATTTACGTTCGGGGGCTTGACAACAGTGGACTCACACTTATGACGGTCGCAGCAGCGTCCCGGGGTCAAGCGATTCCCCTTTTGCGACTTTCTGACAAGCAAAGTCAATGGAAAGTCCAATTCACTTAATGACCATGTTACTAATTTTAACGTCTGCAGTGATTTGCTTAACGAATGCGGCAAAAAATAATAATAATCGTAAAACTCGCGTAGCAAATTTCTCACTGAACGTGAATTTTGGGCTCTGTTGCAGCTGTAAGTTGAGGACTCCCGGTCGTGAAGGGAGTTTTGCCACATTTTATGACCTTCCTCGCCCCGTATGTTAAGGGAATCACTGCAGTTGTTAAGCGAGTAACAGGGTTGTTAAGTGAAATTAGCTTCCCCATTGACTTTGGTCAGCCGAAGGTCACAAAAGGGGATCACAAGGCCCCCAGGACACTGCAACAGTCGTAAGTACGAGTCAGTTGCCAAGTTGACCCTCTGAATTTTGATCATGTGACCACAGGGGTGCCGCAAAAAATAGTCAAAGTGCTGTTGTATCTTTGAATGGTCACTAAATGATGTAATGGATGCTGCCAGTTGAAATCCTTCCCGTGGCTGGAATTTAGTCCTCGACTCGCACCCGTTCATTTAGCAAATGTTTCAAAGTTACAATGGCGTTGAAAATTGACTTGCAACCAGTCCTCATACTTACAACCATCACAGCATCTCCGTAGTCATGCGATCAAAATTCAGGAGCTTGGCCACCGCCGTTTATTTACAACAGTGGCACAGTCCTCTGGTCGTCCTTTCTAATCTTCCCAGCCAAACCTCTGACAAGCAAAGTCGGAATGGGGTGTGTGGGGGAAGCCTGATTCGCTTATCCACCCCCCGATTCACTTAACAACCAAAGTGATTTTTCTCAACAACCCTGGTGTGAAAAAGGTTCGCAAAATCGGGTCCGACTCGCTTATCCTGGCTCAGCCATGGAAATTCAAACTGCCAGCTGTGGCCATAAGTCGAGGACACCTTCCCCCTCCCCAATGTAAATGTTTGGTGGTGGTGCTGGGGGGTCACACAGAACTGCACGCACGAGGCAGCTGTTGGGAGGAGAGAGGAAGTAAGGAAACATGAGAAAGTAAATCCTTGCCAAAGCAGAACGGGTTTTCCGGTGAGCCACCAGCAAATAGATTTATTTTTACAAAATGGAAATTGTGAAATGATGATGACACGTTGGTTGCTTAACTGGCAGCAGCTCAAGGGCTTTTGTTTGGCGTAGCCTTTTGCGGGTCGAAACTTGGATGGGTATGTCACCGCCGTGTGCATCGTTGCACTTTCCCTGCGTATCAAAATCATGCCCTCTCTCTCTCTCTCTC